CTGTACTCTTTGATTGAATATGATGAATAAGTCTTGATTACAGCACAGCTCCGGAAAGTGACTTTTGATCACGAAACGTGTTGATTTTATGTGTTATATGAGATGTGAGTTGGAACTTAATATGATGTATTTTTAATTACATTTGATGTGTTTTTTTAATACATATATGTGATAGCATATTGGTACTCCTCTTTGAAGTACAAACCCACCAGTTTGGGGGAGAGTATGTCTTGTAGGTTTTAGTGTCAGTCAAAGTTGACTCAAGACTTCTTTGTTGATAGTCTCTAAGGGGTTTATTTACTAAAGCTGGAGAGTCCAAAATCAGACTCCCTTCTGCATAGAAACCAATCAGCTTCTAACCTCAGCTTGTTCAATGAAGCTTTGGCAATGAAACCTGGAAGCTGATTGGTTTCTATGCAGAAGGGAGTCTGATTTTGGACTCTCCAGCTTTAGTAAATAAACCCCTAAACGTCAGGCTTCCTCAGCATATATTTTAAGTTATAGTATCACTAACATCAGTTACACAGTTCTTATTATGGGAACCATTAAGCAATCTATATTTGATGGTAACTCTTCTATAGCCTCTATGTATGGTATAGAAAAGAACACTCATCCCACTGCTCTCTTTGAGACATACTGTACTAATCTTTACGTATGCAATATTAGAGACCTTACTTATTCAATATGAAATTCTGAATATGATCGCAACCTGTAACAGTAAGCTGTTAGAAAACAAATGAAATCCAACTTTAGATATTTGCTATCTTTTAGGATCTTTGAGGATAAATTACTTCAATGTACCGTACATGCAGCTAGAGAAGTCAAGGATTTTTTTTAAAGTTATTTTTCTGCTTGCTAAGAATACTAAATATAAAAACTTTAATAATTGGAGCCTGAGAACAGGTACTCTTTAAGGAATTATTATGTCCAAGGAAAAAATATATGCAAAAAAAAAAAAAAAAATAGAACTGAATTTGTTTGCTTAACCTCATCTTGCCGGCCATATGCATATATCCGACTTCTCAGTTGGTGGACCGTAACGCTGAGAGGTCGCATATCTACATATCAAAATGTAACCAATGCTGTGCCGAGAGCACGCACTCTGAGCGCTCCTTGAACAGATATCAGCTGGTAACGGAAAGCTGTAGATCTCTAGAGCTTTCTGATCATGTGACCACTGTGACAGCCACTCATGGCAGTCATATGATCAAAATTCCTGTCTCCAGGTGTCTGAAACCTCTTAAAGGGTGGGAGGCACCAGTGGGAAGGGGTTAGTACTAATGTTTTCCTAAGAGCACCCATATTGAAGCACACATCTAGAAGAAATTGAACCCTTAAAAATGCTACTATCCAATAATAGAGATAACATACTTTTTAGTCTTCTTAGCAGTTTAATGCACAGAAAACTAGGCTTGAAAGCCTCCTATTGGCCTCCCATCACATCCAGTCAGAAGATGCAGGGGTGTCTGAAATTGTTTTCAACAATATCAGGAAATATTTTTAAAACTACTGATTTGGAACACCACTAAGTCCCTGTACTGTAGTGGGGCAAACTGTTCAGTACCTAGGATTTCCTGAACGATCTAGTTTATCAGAAAAAAATATCATCAAAAGCTTTTCCATTCCATTGTATCAGATTTAAAGTACATATGCTCTAATTGTATTGTGTTCTTTTAATGTTCAGATTACTTCTGGAGGGAATATTGAAGAATTATATATGGGGCCAGTGTATGCTCTCTCATAATCTGTTATGAAATCTTCAACAAACATTTCAACTATATAAAGGGCTGCGATGGTATGGTACATTCATTTGGACACAGGCACTGCCCCTCCTTTTCTTTCACTTCATTGCCAAGGCTTAGGGCTGTCTGATTTAAATTGGTTCTAAAGTTAACCATTTTTTATCTTAATTGCATTCCCTGCATTAGGGTAAAAAACATTTTACCACTTGCTATGCCCTCCCTTCCTAAACACTTACCTGAGTCCTCCCTCGATCGAGTGCTTTACCCAGCTGCAACTCTTCTCTCCCCCTCTTCCTACTTCCACGGGCTTCACAGAGAGCAGTTGGAGCCAATTGCTTCTGCCACTCTCATTCAAATCACACAGCCTGACTCAGTAGTGCACCCACACATGTGCCCCCATAACAAGAGAAAGAGCAGAGAGTGCAGGCGGGGACACCAGAACAGGAGATAAGGGGAGGAGATAATGGGCCACTCAGTGCAACAAAGCAGGTAAGTATAAGCCTTTTCTATTTAAAAAAAAGGCTTCACAACCACTTTAAACCATGGAAGACATAATTATGGGCCCTATTTGCCATCCTGAAAATGGTTGACATCCTGAATAGATGCTGACTGTAAATGATCACACTTCAGAAGTCAAACTTTCCTGCCTCATCAGCACTTTCTGTCATATAAAGCTGAACAGGTGACATAATTCATGCTACTTTACTCCTCATTGATGAATTTGGCTCCCTCTTCAAAGTGCCTCTATAGGCAAAGCATATTTCTAATTATCTGCTACTGTCTGGATTCAAAGGGCTCAGTTTCCCAGTTTCTGTGTTGTAGAATATATTTTATTTTTTTGCTAGATTTTCATGACTTATAGTTTAATTTCATCATGCAAGAACATCATGGCTCAACTTAGTAAATGAAAGGCTGTTCTTTAAAGACCAAGAGAATATTTTAACTGCCTAAGAATTGCTCAAGTGAGCTCCCAATCTCATGGTCATGCCTAAGGCCTTTTTCTGTGGTTTGATAGATTTGTAGAAATTTCCTCACTAAATTTAAGATGTAAGCCAAGAAGGTAGTGTAGGTTAATCTTCCCAAGTACAATGCAATACAGATGTTCTTGCTCTTCCTGCTACCACTAACAATTATTTTTGTCAAACTAACCTGAAAGTTACTCACAATATATGTGTGAAATAGAACATTTCACTTTTTCATATAACTTTAAAACACAGTTTGTACAAAGGCCAACAGCAATAGTCAATTGACTGTAGATTGTAAAAAAAAAAAAATTATATATATATATATATATATGTATAAATACAGAGTACATACAGGTGAAACTCGAAAAATTAGAATATTGTGCAAAAGTTCATTTATTTCAGTAATGCAACTTAAAAGGTGAAACTAATATATGAGATAGACTCATTACATGCAAAGCAAGATAGTTCAAGCTGTGATTTGTCATAATTGTGATGATTATAGCTTACAGCTCATGAAAACCCCAAATCCACAATCTCAGAAAATTAGAATATTACATGCAAATTAATAAAACAAGGATTGTACATAGAACAATATCTGACCTCTGAAAAGTATAAGCATGCATATGTACTCAGTACTTGGTTTGGACCCCTTTTGCAGCAATTATTGTCTCAATGCGGCGTGGCATGGAAGCTATCAGTCTGTGGCACTGCTGAGATGTTATGGAAAACTAGGATGCTTCAATAGCGGCCTTCAGCTCTCCTACATTGTTCGGTCTCATGTCTCTCATCTTTCTCTTGGCAATGCCCCATAGATTCTCTATGGGGTTCAGGTCAGTTTTCTGGCCAATCAAGCACAGTAATCCCACAATCATTGAACCAGGTTTTTGGTGCTTTTGGTAGTGTGGGCAGGTGCCAAGTCCTGCTGGAAAATGAAGTCAGCATCCCCATAAAGCTCGTCTGCGGAAGGAAGCATGAAGTGCTCCAAAATCTCCTGGTAGACGGCTGCGTTGACCCTGGACTTAATGAAGCACAGTGGACCAACACCAGCAGATGACATGGCTTCCCAAATCAACACAGACTGTGGAAACTTCACACTGGACTTCAAGCATCTTGCAGTGTGTGCCTCTCCATTCTTCCTCCATACTCTGGGTCCTTGGATTCCAAATGAGATGCAAAAGTTGCTCTCATCAGAAAAGAGGACTTTGGACCACTGAGCAACAGACCAGGTCTGTTTTTCTTTAGCCCAGGTAAGACGCTTCTGACATTGTTTGTTGTTCAGGAGCGGCTTGACAAGAGGCATATGACATTTGAAGCCCATGTCCAGGATCCGTTTGTGTGGTGGCACTTAATGCACCGACTCCAGCCTCAATCCACTCCTTATGAAAGTCCCCAACACTTTTGAATGGCTTTTTCCTGACAATCCTCTCCTGGCTGCGGTCATCCCTGCTGCTTGTGCACCTTTTTCTTCCACACTTTTCCCTTCCACATAACTTTCTATTAATGTGCTTTGATACAGCACTTTGGGAACATCCAACTTCTTTTGCAATTTACCTTTTGGGGCTTTCCCTCCTTATGGAGGGTGTCAATGATGGTTTTCTGCACAACTGTCAGGTCAGCAGTCTTTCCCATGATTGTGATTCCTACTGAACCAGACTGAGAGACCATTTAAAGGCTCAGGAACCCTTTGCAGGTGTTATGGCTTAATTAGCTGATTAGAGTGGGACACTTTGAGCCTAGAATATTGCACCTTTTCACAATATTCTAATTTTCTGAGATTGTGGATTTGGGGTTTACATGAGCTGTAAGCCATAATCATCAGAATTATGACAAATTACGGCTTGACCTATCTTGCTTTGCATGTATATGAGAGTCTCTCATATATTAGTTTTACCTTTTAAGATGCATTACTGAAATAAATTAACTTTTCTAATATTCTAATTTTTTGAGTTTCACCTGTGTATACAGTATATATAAAAATGTTTTTTGCCAATTTGACTTCACACAGCCTATTAAGGAGATTACCGACCCAGTTATGACACAAAAAGAAATGTATGTATATAAATATGAAATAACAACAATATTGTAGTTACGATAATCACACACATTTTGTTTGTGTGATTGTAGTACATCGTTGTAAATTCCTGAAGATAAGTCAGCTATTTTATCTTGTGATCATTTTTACATTAAAATGTTAAGTTTATAAAAACTGATGTTTCATTTGACTTGTGTGAAGTTGTTATTTTTCTACATTGAATAAACATGTTCTGTAACTTGAACTCCTCTATTACTTACGCATATGAAGGGGCGGACTGACCATTTGAAAACTTGGGCACTGCCCGAGGGCCGGGGTCAGTAGGGGGCCCCATGAGATGCCCCTGGTACCTTTTTCATAGGCTTTTTTGAGTTTGAGCAAGGACACAGGGGCCCTATGATCCCTTATTGCCGGGGGCCCCATGAGTTGTCAGTCCGCCCCTGTGCATATGATTATCTGATGAAACTGTATTAGTACTTGAATGGCTCTTTTTTTTGCTCCATGCAGTAGACATCTCACCCGTAAATCTAGACAGATAGTAATGATATTTCTAGAAGCAAAAAAATCTATGCTATAATCTTTGCAAATTGACTGAGAGGTAGAATTGCAATACAAGGCTACAGTTTGCCTTGGTTCATACAAAAGTGATACCTTGATTTAAAACAAAAGCAGAAATAAATAAATAGAACTTTTCATGGGTGTCATTTGGTTTACTTAGGAATCCCAAAGATTATACTTTGTTTTTTTTAATTCAACCAGTGTGTTGAAAGAAAAAAACGGCCCAATTCCCCCCATTCACACACTCAATGTGGATTGGAGAACCTTCCCCACTGAGTCTTTCTGTTCTGATAGTGGGGAAACTTCCCCACGATCAGAATACATTGATTGTATTGCAGGCTATAGCCTGAAGCACAGACTGAGCAAGGAAAGTTCAATAGGATGGCTGTACAGAAGGCAATCTGTGATTGACACCCAGGGGCAGACTGACAACTCATGGGACCCCCGGGCAATAGGGGATCATGGGGCCAAAAAGCCTATGAAAGGTACCAGGGACATCTCATGGGGCCATCTACTGACCCCGGGCCCTCAGGCAGTGCCCGAGTGCCCAAATGGTCAGACCGCCCCTGTTGACACCAATAGCACCAATACATGGATCAAAATTAGTTTGATCCCTGCTGAACTGTCCAAATTTTTATCCATGTATAGGGAGCTTAAGTTGAAAGGACACTTTTCGTGTCAAGGCCTATGTCCAGAAGTAAGTAGGCCCTTCTGGCACCAAGCCCTCTGGGGCTTGGAAGGGGCCTGGAGGCACCATATGAGCACCAAATACCCTCAGGGCTACTTTGTAAAATCTAAAAACACCTGCAAACTGAAGGATTTATGCTACTATCAACAAAATATACTTACTGTATATTTTTAATCTGCTTGTGGGAGCTTCACATTATTCCTGTTATGCCAAAAGAACTGATGAGAGAGATCTGAGTGAGAGATGGGTTAACTAACCAGTTATAGCATAGAGCTAAAAGTCAACAAACACATCCATTTGATAATGTCTTTCTTCTGTGGGGCAGACCTGGGAAGAGGAGATAAGATAAGGTGCTCCCAAGCTGAAAAGTATATGAGAAACCCAGTTTTAAAAGTCACCATGATGCCCGAAGCAGACGGCTCATCTGAAATCTCTGTACTTTTAAAAATTACAATTTTAAACTGTTGATGAACAACATTTTCTTCTACCTAAAAAAAAAAAAATAAAGAAACAAACTGTGATTGTTTCTTGTATTTCTATGAGGAGATTGCATGCCTAATTGTTTTGTACTGCAATGAATACTATAGTCATGTTAATTAAATTTCATGACTAATATGCATTTCTTTTTGCCTTCTTCAAAAATAAAAAATTATGTTCCCTCTAGACACATTTTATGGTACATCATACATATTATAAAGTATCAGATCCTCTGCTGCAGCTCTTAAACTCTGAAATGCTTCGATGTTTAAAAAAAAAGAAAGAAAAGAAAACTCACGTGTTTTCATCCGATCAATATCATTATCAGAGTCTATAAACTTCAATTAGCTGTAATAGGTATCATCTTTAGACAACCATCTGTTGGCTTTCAGCTGATCAAGGTTTTTAGTTCAATATGAATGTGGAAAAGAAATTATTTATGCATTGGTTTATTTGCAAATTAACCTTCTACTCTAATCTATCAGTCCTAATGCATTCAAAAAGCAGCTCACATATTTGGACTTATAATTATGTTTGTACTGAGAAATTAAGAAACCTATCTAAAGAGATAATTTACCTTTTTTTGTTGTGAGTGTATGCTCCAACCCCAAATGGACAACATCCCTTCAGACCTCTGTTCAGACTTCACTACTACAAGCAGACATGAGCTGTGTGCATACTTAATGTTTGCAACATTTTAAGATCGGATCTAAAGTCATCCTACAGAAGTGAGGTCTGATCTCAAAGAATGTACCTTTATTGTAGTCAAGTTCAGTTCCTTGTCACTGCAAGCATCTCCGTGCTTCTGCTTCATGTTGTGGATTTCCTATATCTCCACATTTCTCAGCTGCTTGTTGATCACTGTCACACCAGTTTTCAGATTACTTTTCATCAGAGGCATAGATCTGACACCAGAAAACAAAGCCTTGCTACTTTATCAAGGTGGTCACCTCTACACAAATACACATGGTGGAGCAAAGCATGGTAATTGGACTTGGGAATAAGATCAGCTGCAGGGAGTCTACAGACAGTAGTGGCAACTAATAATTTGCCTAAGAGCTGACTTTTTTTTTTACACAGCTTTCACAGAATGGGTTTTCTTTGGGATAAAGTACCTCTTCCTCATCGGGGAAGTGTTACACTAAAATGTTCTCAATTACTGTAGTCTATGCAATGTTAGACACATTTCTCATATTAGAAGCTTAGACTTTTTGACACCTTTGTTACAACTGACAAAGCACAAATACTTATATGAGTGAATTGTGTAAGAAAATATTTCAAATATCTCAAAATGTAAACTTTACTAACTCTGATTTTCACTTTTAATTTTTTATGGACACAGTGACTAGACACTGGTCAACCAGGCTTACAAAGCGTTGGTCTTACATAATTGGAAGATATGTTGAAGGCCCTGCACCTCTGCATATACATCACTGCTGTAAAATATAGCTAAAAAAAGGAGAAGATAAGTCTAAGCCTTGTCAAATCTATTGTAAGGAGGAGGTAGGCTGGTGGCATGATAAGAGAGTGTTTAAGGTAGCAACCATATGGTGGTATTTATAGGATGGAGCCTCTAGAGTTGATTCTGCAGTCACTACAACTTCTGCATAGAGCCAAAGTGGGAACTCTTACACTCTAGTATTGTTATTGGTCTTCTTTTAGACACTTTAATACATTAGGGACAGTGCATCTTTACAACAGTCCATGGGGGATTCAACAACTGGTTTAATAACAGATAACTCTGTAGATTTACAGAGGAGGTTTAGTGCTAGAAATTACTGCCTATGATCTGATGTTCACGGTACCTCACATGTGTGAATTGATCGTTGTTTTGAGTGCGGGACTAATGAGTACATTCGCCTTTGAGTGTGAGCACAGGAGCATGGGGACGCTTTACATTTTTTTTGTTTAATTATCAAATTATATTTTTAATTTTACACTGTTTCCTCTGCATTTAAAAGCATTCAAAAATACCAAGATCTGTGTTTCTAAATGCTTTCATTTTTAAAAAATGGTGCTGTTTACTTCTAAGTAAACTGGAAGTGATGTCAGGTCATCAAAGCCAATACCGTCTTTGTTCGGCTGTCCGGCCAGCTGGCAGATGCACAGGCTGGTCTCTCGTTTATCTCAATGGAATCTGAGAGAGCAATGGAAAGCCACTTGGATTGCTATTGCAAGAGAGCTGACCGCCGGCTCTAAAAAACGGTACTGGAGTGATGTCTGCAGCGGCAGGCATCACTCCGGTATAACCACCGAGACTTCAGCGATGTACCGGTATGTTGCTGGACAAGAAGTGGTTTAATAAAATAACAGATAATTATAGGTAACTTTAAAATCAATATAAACATTGGCATAGAAGAAATAGAACATATAGTAAACCAAACCATTATCAAGTATTCTTTTCTTTTGGAATTTGAGAGATGCCTGACCTGAGAACAATTAGAAATCAGAGATTTCTTCTTGGGCACAAAGGGGTTGATTCACTAAAACTGGAGAGTGCAAAATCTGATGCATTTCTGCATATAAACCAATTAGCTTCCTGATTGTTAAACCTGAAGTTAGAAGCTGATTGGTTACAATGTACAGCTGCACCAGATTTTGCATTCTCCTGTTTTAGTAAAATAATAATCCCTAAAATACTTTAAGGACCAATTGTTGCTGGTTGAAATGTTAAGCTTAATAAGTCATGTTATAATTGGGATATAACTTTAAGGAAATTATTACAGTTATTGTTTTTTTCTCTTGACCTTAGTTTGCTGAAAGGTATTCTTAGTAAATGTAACAAAAATACAAACAGTCACAAATCTCTCAAAGTTCTGGAGCTGCACATCACTTCCAAAAAGTAAAAAAAATACCTTTATTGTTCAGCACAAGCACAGACACTCCACCCAGAATCCTCCCTCTAATGCATTTCACCTCCTCCTACTGGGGCTTAATGTTTTTTTTTTTTTTTTTTTTTAAAGAGACTTTATTGGGTTTTATTGTGCATACAAAATAACCAACGATGAAATATGTCAGTAATCATAGCGTGGCAACATGCCAAATCAGGTGAATAAATTCCAAGATAACAATTTTACTCATAGACTCGTTACAGAAGCCCTGAACAAATCAGATAAGAAATTAGATAAGTTTAGGAAGAAAAGAGTTTCTATGAAAAAAGTATAGAGCATGTAATGTAGCAGGATACAAGGGCTTAAAGTGTAAATATACTAAGTGTAGAGAGTCACGTATACATAATGTAATCAGACATAAGAGCAAAAAGAATAAGCGATGTGAGCAATGTTGACCATTTGTCGTAACGACCAACAGGGAGGTCATTGTGCAAAAAAGTAGGAAATAATGAAGAAATGTAAAAGATAGGGTAGAAATAGACCAGTTAGAAAGTAAGACAACAGAGCTGAAAAGGCCAGCATTTAGAGAGTATATCATCAAAGAAGGGAAGAAGGAGAAATAGAGAACAAGCAGTCACGTGCTGAATTCTGAGGCCAGAGGACCATGGGAACCTGCCAAGATAAAGAGATTTAAGCAGAAAAAAAAAAAAAATAATAGAATGAACGAGTAGTCATATAGTAAGGTGGAAGTATTAAATAGGAGCAGCGCATCAGTATGTATAAAGGTGAGCTAGCAGGAGACCACTTCACATAGGTCAGCAAGGAGGATAAGAGAGCGAATGATATGCCAGGGCACCGAAATGAGAGGAGGACACAGCATAAACAGAAAAGGAGATTTCTGAGAAAGACACAGCATTCATAAAATAAGAATCAGTTATCCCTTTAGACAATAACAACACCATGCATCAGGAGTACCCTAGAAGCTAGCTAATGACTAATTTAAAAATCTATGAGAGGGGTGCTGGGGCTCCACAGTAGGGAGAACTTTTGAAACATATTGACCCCACTTGCGGTTGAACTTTTCCACTGCTGTTGTAGAAGGAGCTATATGCATGCCGAGCCGATCCAATCGAAGTAGAAAGTTAAGTTCCATTTTGACATCTGAGATGGTAGGTGGAGAGGTGGAGACCCATTTTTTCAAAATAGCCCTTCTTGCCGCCATCAAGCAAATGGATAGCCATGGTTTGGCTGCTCTGAGCAAAGCAAGATGGCGGTGTGGGGCAGCAGACACTGAAACTTCCAAGTTGCCAAAAAAAGTAGCAGCGGGTCTCTAGGTAACTGAAGAGTAGTGATGAAGAGCACAAAGTCCAAAAGTTGAGTCCAGAATGTACAGACCAATGGGCAATTCCAGAATCTGTGGTGAAGTGACGGTTTATATGATCCACAGAGCGGACATGTAGAGATCCTTGAGTCTGCTCGGGAGTACAGGCAGGGCATATAAGCATGGTGCATAATTTTAAATTGCTGCTCCCTCCAAAATTCGTTCGTATTGAACGCACAGGTAGTATTAAAACCTGTGAGCATCTGCTCCGCGGTAAAAGCATTGTCAAAGTCTCGTATCCATGTTTTAACAGAAGAATAAGATTCCATCGGTTTAGCATAGTGCATAGA